GTTATTAAAGACCTGTTATACCTAAAACAAATAAAAAAAGACTAGATTAATGCTTTATTATATACGTGGACCCCTTTGTTATTTATGTTGCTCAAACAATGTCGTCGTTATTTGAGAGTTATGGAATATGTTTATTCCTTCTTCTTTGGCAGAATTTTGTAATTGTTGGTTGTTAAGCCTTGTTTTTAGCCCATGCTTCGCATCTGGATTGTACGATTTACAGATCTAATACAATATGCTGATGTATAACATATATGAAGGTGAATCTGATTTTGATCTGGATTTGGATTGACTTAGTGAACTGATTAACTTAAACTAGCTGTTAGGGATGGGGTTGTCTGATTTATGTGTGTTTTGAGGTAAAAGACAATAATGAGGAAAAGAAGTGCAGGATGGCGACATCATATGAAGAGAAATTAGGGGGGCAACAATGGAGTGTTGTGTTGGTGTTGTGAGGCTGGATGAGTTGTGGGAAATGGTATTGGGCCAAGAGGATGTGGTATAATGGGGCTTGGGATCTGCTTTATTTTGATGATGGAGATTGAGTATAATAACAAATTTAGTAGGTTGAGTGGCGGCATCGGGACAATGACCTTAGGGGCGATGATGGAGGTAGTTGGAGGCATGATTGGATCGGTGAGTGTTGTTGTGATGACAAATGGTGGTAGTTAGAGTTTGATGATGTTCGTTGCTTCTTTGATTGATGTTAGGGGAAGAGGGGAGTTGAGGAGAGCAGTGGGTTGTTAGGACTGAGGGCCAAGGCCAGTTAAGAGTTTGAAGTATGAGTTTATGTGATGTTAGCAACAATAATCTTTAGAAAATTTCTTTTGAAAGATAGTAAAATGTTCTAAAAACTAGTCGAATCCTATTTGGGATCCCCAAAGTTAGCCTGATTTCTTATCTTCAAATGAATCTGAAACCTTTAGTTGATTCGATTTGCCTAGTCTCTTTCACGTATGTAGATGTAAGAAGTCCCCTATCACATAACTTGAATTTCTCACGCCTAACTTCGCTTCGCCCCTTGCTAACTCATATATTGTGCTTACCCGTGCATACTATGTAGTCATGCTTGTTGTGCTATCATGTAACTATTCAAATTTTCTGGAAACTTGATGTATGAGATATTTGCATGAGAATTTGGGTTGAACAAGAGTAAGAGTCGACTCTTTCTCTTTTCCTCTCAGAGAAGGCATTGAAACTCCTTCCTTCGCTTTTTGCTTGTGGGATCAGGAGAACTTATAGTAATAGCCTCTTAGTCTGGTAATGATAAAATTTGAAGCTTCATGTGCAGCTAAGGAATTCATTCTTTTATGATATTACCACACTCTCTCTTCTCTATATTGGACTTTTGAAAGTCTGATTTGCGAGCCTAGCTTCCTTTCAATGTACATCGCATGCGCCTTCTAATGTTACAACCAGGAGATTGCTATAAAGAGAGAGAGGATAATGAAAGTTGGTGCTCCCAATAAGATTGTTTAGATTAAAGCACAATTACCATTATGTTCAGGGCTTGTGGTATGTGCTACCCACCTTGTAGTAGCTTTGATAACTGTGTTCACGGAGAGTGGGCAAAGCAAAAGGGAAGGAGGTCCTCATAGAGGGTCACACACTTGATCTCAAAGTGATTGGAAAGTTTGGTATGTTATCAAAAAAGGAAGGTGCTAGTCAGGTAAATAATTGGAATGACAGAGACCATATCCGTGACTATAAAAGGCCTAGCGGCTTGAAATTGCTTGCTACTAGTAGGTGCCTTGATAAACGCCACTCGATGTCTAATTCCTGGTAGGCTGATAGGGAATCTCTGCCTTGTGGTTGATTAGAAAAAGTACATCAACTTTCAAAGAGAAAAGATATGAGTCATCTTTTTTCCTCAATTCTGTCACTAAATGAAGCCAAAAATCATAGGCACTCTTGATCCAAAGTAGACTAAAAGCACACCGACAAGTAGACTTTGAATTTAAAAAGGGTCTGTTGCATGCCACACACATCTTTCAATTAATGGGCGTTATATGTTTATCAAGAAATACGACCAACATAATTTATGGGTAGTATAGAGTTGGCTTGCTCAGCCGACTCTCTTTTTTTAAGAAAAAAAGTAGACTTTGAATTTGTTTATGTTCATGGTTGATAAATTTAAGATGATAAGATACTTTACACTTGTATATATAGTTCAATAGGACATAATTTGAATTAGATTGGGCTGACCTCAATCCAGATATAACTCAACATTTCATAGATAAATCCAATTTGACTTTATTGTTGATTTGTTAAAAAAACTAGATAAATTACAGACTGATTTTTCTTAAGCAACCTTGGTTGCTTGCCGGCATCAGAGCTACTTAACTGGATTGCCTAATTATAGAGCAACTTACATAGGGCTACTCATACATGTGCAACCACTCGTTGTAAGCCTTCTAATTTCTTTTAACAGTGCTCATTAATGAGTGGTAACTCTGTATAATAGATTTAGTTGAGCTTAAAATTTGGTGTGTGAATATAATATTTCATGTATCATTAACTCTCACTTGGTGAAAATTTTAAAAGATTTTTGTTTTTTGGGTGTTATAGGTAATATTTGAAACCCCAATATATTGTAGTTAACAAGCTTTAAAGATGGTGTTATAGATCTAAACACCCCTTCCAAAAATGAAACAACAGAAAATTATGATTCAGCTTCAAATTTTCTCATTAAAGAACTACAAATTAAAGTTTATTTAAGAAGCACTACGATGAAACTAAATTTAAATTCATAGATAATTTAAAAGGATTATATAGCCCTTGATTTTTTCCTTAAGAACTTCATAGTAGTATTCATGTAGGAGGTGTTAAGTTCTAGATTTTTTAGTGTAAATTTATTCTGGGATGTAGAAAATTATGCAACATGTAAATAAAATTTCACAAGTCATATACCCTTCATCCTAATGACCATTTGTTACGTGAAATTTGGCGTGGGCATGCGAACTTGCCCTGCTACTTAATGATAGGATTTAAGTAGCATTTTTCGCTGGTACATAAATATATTGGCCAGTCACTTTCATTTTTTTAATGCGTTCTCACTATCATTAGCTTCAAGAGACAAGAAAGATCCGGTTGAATATACCGTCAAATTTCGGTTGCTCACTTTATGTTGATTTATTATTCTGTGCGGAGTCCAGAGGGCTTTCGGAGACCAATAAAAATGCGCCACGTTATCCCAAAAATGTACTGCGCTTGGTACAGAGCTCGATACCCGCACTCGGCACTGCTTGGTACCGAGCGCATAACTGGACGGGAGAACCGTCCGGTGTCTGCATAGAATAATAGCTCCTTTATGTCTCTCCTTTTTTTAGCATTTGCCAAGGTAGACCTGGGTGATTATATTTGTCCAATTTTGGCTGCTCTCTGTTTTAGCAAATGTTGTTGAAAACAACTGAAATTATCACCATTACTAGCCTTTAAAACATTACACATGAATGTTTAAGGTTATCAAATTATCATGGCTTTTGTTGTATCTAGTTTCATTGGGAAAAGTTGATGCCGAAATGATTAGGAAGTATAAAAAGCTTGCTATATATAAAAGGCTGTTAAAAAGAGATTTGGGTGAAATGGATTCAGTGGGCTGCAACCTGGCTTTTTTGGGATTATCACATTAGGTCTCAGTCATAAGGCAGGCCCTTTGCAAATAGAACTACGACGACATCATTAGAGGCCCTTCTGTGTTGTGAAGCTTTTGTAGTCCTCATAGTGGGCGAATTATTGTGTCCGGTCACCTGACGTCTAGACAATTAATTCAGATGCGCCACGTCACACAAATACATCGGGGCTCAGTGTATTTGGTGATGTGGCGCGTCTAGATTGGTGTCCGGACGAATCCGGACACCGGACGCAATAATTTGCCCTCATAGTGAGGATAAAAGACTTGAGGACTCTGGCAGATTGGTTAGTTCTTGCAGTACCTATATTGATGATGACCAAGGGGACTGCACAGTTGAACATTCCCCAAACTTCAGTCATTACGGTATTTGCATGCACCATTTCTTCACAGCTGCATACCAAAGATTACATGAGAAAACACCAATGATAGTTAAGGATATTCAACCTTGAAAGTAACAATAACAACATCAAGCTTTTGTCCCACTACGTGGGGTCGGCTAAATGAATCCTTTTTTCTCCATTGTCCTGTTAAAAGTCAAATTCTCGTTCGAGTCTTTTTAGGCCTACCTCTACCATTCTTAATTTAAGCAAAATCTAATACCTCTACTTTCCTAACCGGGTCATCAGAATGTTGCTGTTTTATGTGACCAAACCATCTAAGGCGACTCTCTCTAATCATATCTTCCATCGGAGCTACTCCAACGTTTTCACGTATATGCTCATTTCGTATCCTATCTCTAAGGGTAAAGCCACTCATCCACCTGAGCCTCCTCACCTCTGCAACACTTTGTGTTATGCTTCTCTTTTACTGGCCAGTATTTAGCACCATAAAACATTGCAGGTCTCACCATCATCTTATTGATTTTTTCCTTAAGTTTGAGGTGGAATTTTCTATCACACAATAAGCCCGATGCATTCCTCCAACTCAACCTTGAAAGTACTAAACCTTAAAACTTTTTTACTGAGGCGCGGGATTTTTTTTTAATGATACATTCTACGCCTGAACTCGGCTGTTTTCTTATGCATGTGAGGCTATGTGACTTATCCAATGGAGAGTCTTCTACAATAGAACCATTAAAAATCTGTTTTTTTTTCTATGCAACAGTGTTTAGAATGCGAGCCTTGAGAAAAAAATTAATAATCATAAGTTTAAGGATGACAATATTGATGTTTGTGAAAGTTATTCTGTTTAATACAGCTAGAGACCAGTTCCCTTCAAATTTCCTCTGATATATTGATATTATTCGATCTACATTTTGATGCGGATCTGTCTTTTGTCTAACTTGTCAATCTGTAATAAAGTTCTTGTTCTGGATTTATCATATCATCCCCTGATGTTACCGTTTTTTTTTCTGCTTGTTTTTCAGGACTGCATAAACCGAATACTGGAATTGGAAAATATTGGTACATATTATAAATTTGTTTGTTTTATAGCCACGCCGGTGATAAAGTTAGATTCAAGTTACTATATATTTGTGGTGTTTCAGGGAGACTATCTGGTGTCATGGATGATCGTGGAAAATACATATACATATCTCCTGAGGAAATGAAGGCAGTTGCTGATTACATTAAACGACAGGGGAGAGTAAGCATTTCGCATCTAGCAAGCAAGTCCAACCAATTCATTGATTTGGAGCCTAAGCCACATTTTGAGGAAGAACATAGTTCAGAAGCAGTAGCTGTCAACTAAGGTTTCGTTTGGGATGACTTTCTTACTTCTTAAAACAGTTTTTTAATGCAATATTAAAAAGCTGCTTCAAGAAGCAGTAAGAAAGTTGTCCCAAACAAAACTTAAATCAAACTCGTGTATATGTTCTTAGCTTACTAACAAGTTAAAGTGCTGATAATATAGGATGAAGCTCTCTGTATTGCATCCTTTATGTTATAATTAGTGCTCGATCTTGACTTATTTGAACTCAGATCAGTCTACTTTTTGTGTCAATGAAAATTTTTATTTTTTAATCTCAAGACAAAATCAAGTTGGAAACTTCAAGAATTAAATTAGAGATCATATGAACTCCGATTTCAGTAAACTTATAGTCGAACTGAACGTCTCGAAAATACGAACTCACCAACACCAAATTCAACTCAATCTGAACCCAAATGACTCCAAATCAAAGACCCGAAGCATATTTGGAGGGTTCAAACCGTAATTTGTATTACCAAACGGTTTCCAAACATGACATTCTTATAGTCGAATCAAGCGGCTAGACAAGACGAATCCAACGAGCCCAAGATCGCCAAATTCAGATATCACTAAGACATTTAAATGCCCAATAAACAGTCCATGATCAAGATTGATCATCCATTCAAATCACTCCTAATTTAATTTCCTATTTATTTACATTTTTTTCTTGATTGATATTATCTAAATTCTATATTGATTCGATCTTAAAGAGATTTTATAATTTTTTTTTTGTGCAATGAGATTTTTAATATCACATATTTAGTTAATATATTAAACATGTTCTAGCAGAAATCAAGTGATTTGATGATTGAAGTCATTTTGTGAAGGAAGAAAATAAACTAATTTACTATTAAAGTTTTATTATTTTTAATACTGATTATATTGATCCTAAGCTTGTATGTAAAAAATTGAAGGAAAAAAAAAAAAAATAGCCCCTCTTAAATATATTTTCTGACTCCGCTGTATTTACTGGAATGGGCAGAGTGTATCGGAAGAGATTTTTCTGGTGAGGATTAGACAAAAGCTTTAAGAGTTAATTCAGGTTAAAATGGATGTAGTTTCTCTAAAACCAGAACAAATTGTATTATAATATTTTTATATGAGTTGCATATATCATACTTAGTTTACAAATTATTAAATTTATTTTGAGGTTAGTTCAATTCAAATTCTTCATATACAAGACTAGTCTCAAAATTAATTCAATTATTTTCAAATCCATTTTGATATATCTTGATATAATTTTTTTTACCTATAAAAACCATTGGTGAATTATTGTAAGAAAAAATAATTATTTTAAAAAACTATTATGAACATAATAAATTTTTTTTCTTGAAAGAAGTTAGTTGACAATTTATTTAAGAAATATGGAAGGACCAACTAACAAAGGGGACTTGATAATGGGATTTATTATTAATTTAGGTTTCATTTGGGACGGTGGTCTTATTATTTATTGGAGCAGTTTTTTAGTATAAAGTTTTTAATTTTTGTACTAGAAAGTTGTTTTAAGAAGCAATAAAAAAGCTTTCCACATTAGGGGTGCAAATGAGCTGAGTCAGGCTTAACTTGAGCTCGGCTCATAGGCTAGATAGCGAGCTCGAACTCGAGCTCAAATGTCTTGCTCTGGGCTTGGCTCATTGTGATGGGTGCAAGCTCCCGAGCAGCTCGTGATGCGTAAGGCATGTTTCGATCTTGCTTCTACGGTTCCATGTGATAGCATTTGGTGCTTTCGCGCTCCCTCATTCACTGCTGCTTCCGCACACATGCCAGTGCATGCATTTTTGCTCTTGCTCCTGCGCCCCTGCTTCCAATTCCTCCTTACGCGCATTTGCTTAAGCGGTTCGCATTTTGTGGTCGTGCTACTTGACGAGTTATCGAGCCAAGCTTCCTCTCGAACCAACTCGAGCTCGAGAATCTCACGAGCTCGAAATTCTCCTCGTGCTCAAGCTCTAAACTCGATAAGCTCGACTCATGAGCTTGTTAACGAGTCAAGTGACCTTGTTAATGAGTCAAGCTCGAACAAGCTCACTAGTCAGCTATACTCACATTCACCCCTAATCCACATCAATCATCTATGTATAAAACATAAGTTTTTGAATGTTATTGAGAGAAAAATTATGCATAAAGAGGGGGCATATGAATTATAAATAACCATTTATTGGGAGGGGCCAATTTAATGTTTATTGTTGTCAAAATCAAATAGTGGGAATACATTAATATAAGTCTTGATATATCATAAAAAAATTATCTTGTTGGGCCACGAGTCTTGAGGAAAATTTAAGTTGGAAACTTTCGAAATTAAAATTGGAACCATCCGAACTCTGATTTCAGTAAACTTATAGTCGAACTGAGCGTCTCGAGAATTCGAACCCAACGACACCAAATCAAACCCAATCCGAGCCCAAACTGGTCCAAATCAAGGTTTAGAAGCGTTGTTGCAAGGTTCGAACCACAATTTGGATTACCAAATGATTTTCAAACATAACATGCTTATAGTCGAATCAAGTAGCTCGACGAGAAGAATCCAACGAGCTCAAGAGCATTGAATTCCGACATTACTAAGACATTCAATGTCCATCAAATGGTCCATGATCAAGGGATTCAACATCGGCTGTCCATCCAACCACTCCTAATTTACCCTTGATCTCTCATTTATATACGGACCATGCAACTCCAGAAATCTATAAATAGATCCCTCATTTCTCTTAAAAAGGGGCTCCAAGCAAGAGAGCAAGAGAGAGAACGGAGATCGCTCTTGCTTCCTCGCTCCTCCTCGACCACCACCTGAGTTCTGCTGGACCACCGCCCCAAGTTCCGCCAGACCTCCGCCGGACCACCACTTGAGGCCCTCACCTCCGCCAGACTACTACTTGAGGCCCTGAGCTCTGCCGGACCACCACTTGAGGCCCTGAGCTCCGTCGGACCACCACTTGAGGACCTGAGCTCCGCCGGACCACCACTTGAGGCCCTCACCTTCGCCGGACCACCACTTGAGGCACTGAGCTCCACTGAACCACCACTTGAGGTCCTGAGCTCCGCAGGACCACCACTTGAGGCCCTGAGTTTCGCCGGATCACCGCCTGACATCATTGCTCTGTTGGACCACCATTTGAGGTCCTCACCTCCATCGGACCACCACTTGAGGGCCTGAGCTCCTCCAAACCACCGCGTGACACCAGAGTTCTGCCAGACCACCACTTGAGGGCCGAAGCTCCGCTAGACCACCACTTGATGCCTCACCACCGTCGAACCACCACTTGAGACCCTAAGCTCTGCCGAACCACCACCGAATGCCTGACTTCTACCGGATAACCACATGAGGCCTGGACATTCGTCGGACTATCACATGAGGCACGGACTTCTGCTAGACCACTACGTGACGCCTAACTTTTGCCGTACCACCACTTGAGGCCCGAACTTTTGTCGGACCACCACTTGAGGCCCGGACTTCCGTCGGACCACCACTTGTGGCCCGAACTTTCGCCAGACCACCACCTGAGGTTCGAACTTCTGCTAGACCACCACCTTAGGCCCGGACTTTCGCCGTACTACCACTTGAGGCCCAGACTTCGGCCAGACCACCACATGAGGCCCAGACTTCCGCTGGACTAATGCCTGAGGCCCGAACTTCTGCCGGACCACCACCTGAGGCCCGAACTTCTACCGGACCATCACTTAAGGCCTTGAATTCTGTAGGGCCACCACATGATGCCTAGAGTTTTATCAGAGTACCGACATACTACAACGGTCTTTCTGACCTTAATCTCTAGCCAACTATGGTCTTTTGGACCCTTGTCTTTTGCCAACTATGATCCTTTCGTCCTCTATCGCCTACAACGGTCCTTCCGACCTACATCGTCAGACAACGGTCTTTTTGACCTCGGTCTCCTGTCGCTTATGATCTTTTTAACCTCTATCCTATCAACTAGGGGTGTCAATTTCAGGTGATGAGTCGGGTTCGAGTTGAACCCGGAACTGACCCGGGCTCAATCGGGTCGATCCTAACCCGACCCGGGTAGGTAAACGGGTCGAATATTTGAACCCTAACCTGATCCGACACAGAAGGAGCGAGTACGGGACGCAAGCGAGTGCACGGGTGCAACCGCCGGATTTTGACGTTTTTCCTGTAGTGTATTACACAAACTATGATACATATGGTGCACTTATATTAAGTGGTGATAATTATAAAGATTGGAAAGAGAGAATTCTCCTTACTTTGTGTTAGATTTATTGCACTAAAGGAAAATCACCAATTAGCGATAGTTTAGATGTGTTTTTCAGTGGTTTGTAAATTTTCCAGCGGTTTACAAACCACTAGAAAATTGCATAGGAAAGGAAAACTGGCAGCTATTTTCCAGTGGCTAACATTTATGGCAGGTTTTTGGTGGCTAAAACATCTGATAAATTTTGGCAGTTACTGATGCATAACTGGTGGAGACCGCTGGTTCATAATTGATGACTTACCATCCATAGAAATTGTTAGTATATCTAGTGGCCAAGACACTGGTTACCAGCGGCTAAAATGAGCAGTCCGATATTAACGTTTCCAACAATAATCTTTAATATCCATTCTAGCTTTAACATTATCATTGCTCTTTCCTTTAAAATCTATAATTATATTAAAAATATTATCTAGAAAGTTATTCTCAATGTCCATAACATTCAGATTATGTCTTATCAAATTTATTCTCTAATAAGATAATATACAGAAAATACTTTTTTAAATCCAATTATGTTGAACTCCATTTCTAAAAATTTACACTGATGATGTTGGAAAATTAATAATTGATGAAATGCTAGAAAGTCTATATAGTACGTCATCTCTCAACTTTATTTTTAACAGATGCTTTCTTATTTCTCATAAATGGATGATCAATAGATATGAACATACGATGATAATTAAATCAAGTATTTTTTTTCCTCCATGTTTTAGTGTGAAAGATTTAGTATTCTCTATATAGTAAGGATAAGCTAATTTTTCTGCTATGCTCCAACCAAATAATATACCATAAGCTCAAAAATTGCCAATGGTACAAAGCAATACATGTCTAAGGAAAAAGAATTGTTTGGTTGAGATGTCATATGCGAGGACACCTTCCCATAAGAACTTGATATTATTAATTAATAGTTGCAAATAAATATCAATTTTTTATTTTGGATTATGTGGTCCAAGTATTATAATTATTAAGAACATGTACGGGATAGTCATACACATCTCTGATAGAAGATTATATGGTATTAATATAACTGATCAGCAA